GCGATACGCCCGTCGTCGTGGGGCGTCGGGCGAGGACCGACCCCCCAAACCTCCCCCTCCCCCCCCCGGCAAATCGCCCGCAGGACGCGCCGGCAGTGCAGGGTCTTCCGCGCCAATTGCGCGGGCATGGGGTAGATCGCGTAGGCCGTCAGCTTCGCCCCCGGCGAGGTCGCGCGGGGGCGTTTGCCGCCGCCCTTGTGGGTGAGCGCGAGGTCGCGCGGGGTGATCGAGACCTCGCGCCAGGGCCTTCCCCGTGACGTCATCGTCTGCAAAAGCGCGGCCCCCGCGCGGCGGTTCGCCTCGCTGTCGAAGGCGACGAAAAGATAGGGCCCCGCGGGGTTTTTGTTCATCCGGGTCATCCCGCAGAGAAAGGGCGCCCCCGGGGCCGCCGGGGCCGCCTTCGCGATCTGCCGTTTGAGGGCCGCGACGGTGGCGTAGGAGTCGTGGGTGTCGATCTTGAGCAAATTCGCGTTGCTGTGGGCGCGTAAAAGCGCCTGAGGAGGGCCAGCCTCGGCGGGGGCCTCCTCAGCCGCCGGATCCATCACAAACCTCCTCAAAGTCAAGGTGTGCGTGCCCTTCTGGGGGGTTCTGGATGTGGGTATTGTGGTGCTTGCTAACTTATCTCTCTCTCTCTCTCTCTTTATGTATATATATATATATGTGTAGATTTATATCTGTACTTAACCCAAATCAATGGGATCCCTAAAAAGGCAAATAGCGCTTTCATTTTACAATGGCGTAAGTTTGATTAGTAGCCCTTTCAATGAGGCAGGAAACACTGTTTCTGAGTCCATAAATCAGTAAGCCCTTCCACCACCCATTCCCAAACAGGGAGGTGGGGAGTTCAAGCAACATGCACATATAATAGTGCTGCTCAAGACGAATATTTGATAATTATCGCCTTAGCTATGTCACTAAAGAATAGAAACACTAAGTTGTAAAAAATATTCCTGGCATTCAGATACCCACACAAATACAAATATATCGATAGATCGATTCATTTATTCATCGGTCCATGGAACGTAAAACTAGACTCTTAGGAATGTATTAAGCCCGTTAAGAAACATTTTTATGACACTCCCACCGTCTGGGAAAGAAATGTCCTTCTTTAATATGAGGTAGTCTATGTAAATCTTGTGTGTAGATAACCGCAATCCATGGCGATCCCGTCAAATAAAATCCCTGCGTTGAAAATAAGTGCGATGCTATCGTAAAAACGCAGCCACTACAAAATTCTGGACGCCATAATCGCCATCAAAACCCAGACATCACCAACGTTCGTAATCTTCCTCGACGAGTGTAGAAGTGATGTTTTTTCTGCTATCGAAGCATAACAACTGCACAACGCCGAATCAACATTACGCGAGATGTTGTTGTCAGCTGTTTCCACTACACACCAGACCCCAAATGAGTAAAACAATAACACGATTAGTGTTGATAGAGCAGTGCTTTATTCATTTAAAAGTAGATTATGATAATTAAGATCACCGGGGAACCTCTTCAGATCATAAATAATATAAACTCGTGATTAAAAAAAAAGAGCACTTATCGACATTGACATGATTACATCAGTGTAAACTCACATCTACAATGCATAGACCTGTTGATGAGTCTATACAAACTGAATTTTACAGATTCTAAAACGGTAAATAGGTAAAAGTCGCTTATGGGAATTGTATCATATAATATGAGTAATAATATGTGAATAAATAAATAAATATATATATATATTTGTATATAACCAAGAAGGAGTTAGACAGTTGTACCACTTGTTTGGAGATTTATATCGCTGTATTGCAGAAAAAGTCGTAAATCAAAAAATATATTTAACCGTTTGGCTGATAAATGTCCTTCAAACTTGCCCTTTTTTCTTCTTTGTTTGTTAGGCCCCGTTAAGTTTGCAGTTCATTTTGCCGAGCGATGATATTTTTCCAAGACGAATGAACCAACTTTCGAGCCTCAAACACCACATATTTGGTCATATCTCGCCGGGTAATAATGGGAGCCACCACCACGTTGGGGTTTGCCTCTTTCAAGAAGTCCTTCAGCGCGTCCTCAGCCAAAAGCGTGGCGAGGCCATCTGGCGTCATCGACCCCGTCTCGAATGGATCCGTCCCGATCTTTGAAATCACGTTGTTGAGCCGATTTGTACAAATATGATTTAAAAGATGCTGTGATGCCTCGAGCAGCGCGGGATCACGAATGACGCTCGCGATTTCGGGCAATTGCGCCCCGGAGAGGCCGATCGAGGTGTCCCGGATGCCCTGCATCTCATCCACCCGAGGGCCCTGCCGCGGGTCGATCGAAATTTCCTGAAAAGCCGTGCATTTAAACTTCAAAATGGTCAACCCTTTGGAGTCAAACCCCGGCGTTCCACGTTTGCAATGCTTCACTACCAACCCTTCCGCCCAATTTCCTTTCAAAGGGAAGTTTCCCATTCCGATTTGCGTGGGAATGGTGGTTTGGAAGTTCTCCACATCAAAGGCGGCCACTTTAGACATCGGACCGCGAATAATCGCCCGCGCGTAGAGCAGACCACTGATTTTGTCAAAAATCTCCGCCGCGTCGTCGTAAATTAGGGTGGTATACTCGCCCAAAGTCGACTTTTTGTATTTAATATCAAAAGCATAAAAATGAAGGTTCGGGCTGTACTGAGGAAAGGTGTCCGTTTGGACCGCGCTTATAGCGCGAGATCGCCCGCCTACCATGACCATTTTTTTGACTTTCGGGACGTTGGGGTGGTCATATTTCCCACCGAAGAGTTCCCCATTGAGAAGCACCGCGTTGGGGGCGTGGTCTAACTTTTTCGAAAGCAGCTCGCGAACTTCCCCCATGTACCGCTTTAAATCGGGTATTAAAACGTGATAACCGAAGAAATGCTCGTTGGGCGACATAATCCCACTTCGTTTCGCATAAGAAATGGTCTTCCCACCCTCCAACGAATAAATACCAAAATTGGCGCCATGAACCTTCTCGGTTGCGATCCATTCATCATTGAACATCCCTGATTCCTTAAGTCCCCGCATACGATTCGCATTGGAGTTTTCGATTTCGGTGTAGCGCTCAAACACATCCGCGAGATTAGTGGCCTTCAGCACAATACTACGCCGTGCAAATAATATTAACCTTGAACTTGATAACATACTTCTGCTGTTGTTTTAAAGATACTAATATCAAAAGCACCAATAGAATAAAAGATCTGCATAATAAATTGTTGAATCACTTTTTTCCATGTTTAAATGGCTGCAGACATTGAAAAGCGATTATCGATATTCTACCGTACTTTACGTAGTATAAAATGATCCTTCAGGATGTTGTAGGGTCTGGACGAAAAGGTATAATTCTCTTAGGCTGTACAATTTCGATTCGACTAGGACAACAAACATACACATCGGCATCGGGGAATTCATTTAGACGTGCGACATGCTCTTCGTACTTTGTATATTGTCTGCCGGAGCACATATAAATAATATCTTGCAGAATACCAGGATTACGCAGTCGTAATTCGTGCGCTTTTTTTTCAATCGTGAGAAAGGTCGGCACCTTATTGGGTGAAATATGATCGACACTCGATAATGGAATACTTTCTGAATGTCGAATGATATACATTGTACACGCCGATTTAATAAGATTGAGCGTTGTGCACATATCATCCACGGCCACCGCGGAGAGCTCATCCCCGTCGACGAATACCACCGCCGCCCGAGGCGTGCGTTTGGGTTTAATATTCAAATTTAGCCGCACCTCCAGTCGGTTTTGCGAGGAATCCACCATTTGATCCACCAAATCCACATTTTGAACCTCTGTGTGGAGTAAAACGTCCTCCAAGCGAAGAAAGGGATGGTGTGTCTTTTTCTTCCCCATCGATAAGCAGTATTTCAGGACTTTCTGCAGGTCAAAAAAGGTTGACATCCTCATATCCTTTTTCGCGTCGTCATTGGGGAATGAGGAGGAAGAGGAATCCGAGAGGCCCTGCGTGCGCAATTCCCCCCCGTCGGAATCCCGCGCATTCGTAAAGAGGTCGGGAATTGATTGCATTCCCTCCTTTATATGATCGGCACCTATCATTGGTGGTGGAAAGGACTGCATTTCATCTCTTTGAAGTTCCGAAAGTGGGGGAAGGGGCCTCTCGTGCTGTTCGCCCGCTCTCACATCATTAGCGATACGACAAAGTGCAGTGATTTGGAGAAGACGCAAGCGTGTGAGGAGCATTAGGAGGGAGGGATTCAAAGAAACTCGTTTCAGTTGGAATTTACGCTAAGCTTGTGAAATAATGAAAATAAAAAAAGGGAGGGGGTGATAACATATTTCATCAACTTCCGCTTGATTCGTGCCATAGTAGAGATTGTATAGTTTGTAATTAGGTTAATGCAAGGGAAAGAGGGTGGGGAAAAAAAATTACGGAGGAAAAAAAAGTCCTTCGAAATAATAATTAAAAAAATAGAAAAAACTTAGACTTGTCAAGATGTAGGACAATAAAACGTATGAAATGGCGCAGAAATTTTTGGAAAGTAAAACTATCAAAATAATATAAACTAATCTCCATCTTAAGATGTAAAGGTATATAATGCCACCCTAACACTATTAATTTATACTTAATAAATGATAACCTTATCCAATTCAAGCCATTATTAAATTCCTCGCAATACAAAATTGATTTGAAAGTTTTTTTCCATTGCCTTTGTGGAGCAATTAACTCGCTAATTCACACCAAATTATTCATATGACACTTCCTAGATGGAATTTAATATTATTCAGAGATTTCCATAAAGAATTTAAATGGTATATCATATAAGTTCTAGGTGTATATTGAATGTATAAATATTTCAACAGTTGGCATATGAATCGTTGAAAAGAAGTATATTATTATACTTTCTTGGATTTTAATATTAATAAATCCATAATTACTAAATAAATTCACTCCATACATGGAGCAGCCAAGTAGATTGATTGATTTATTGAAATTACGTACATCTAAAAGGCGAAAATTCTGAGTTTTTAATCTATGGCACTTCCCTAGGTAGGGGAGCGAAAGAGAGGATGGGTTTAGATAGCATTCAGGATCACACCATGGGAAAGAAGCGTCTTAGGCATTCAAGGGCTGGAAAAAGTAACGGCAAACATCCGCCAAGCCTCGCGTTATCGCACAGACGTTTTAGGCAAGGTCTCTGGAAATTAAACCACCTGAAAGTACATTTGGGGCGATCCAGCGCTGATACTCTCTTCCAAACTTTTCAAAGAATGTATGGCCTTAACTAGAAAAACAATCAAGCCTAAAGCATATTGGTAGAGCGATTGGATCCTTTGACAAGATAATACCAAGGTTAACATCCTTTATTTGGTAATAAATTATCAAAACATCCAACAGATCGAAACTAATGACCTCAAAATCGAGGTCCAATCCTGGTAATTCAACTATGGGAAAAAAATAGATTCGTCAAGACAAATTTCACGAGGTTTGGTTTTGCATGAGAAGATGTGCAATCATGGATACGAAGAACCTGACACCGATCTCCATCGCATCTTCGTTAATTCGGAACCGGGAGCTATAGTTGTGGTTATATGCATCTTGGCCGTCCTTCTCGCCCACCCCCAGCAAACACAAACAACCAGGTATTACGGCCTGATATTCAGAGAAGTCAGAAACCCCCATATGTGGAGATTCTTCCCGAATCACGTTTTCCTCCCCTACAAGTCGAACAGCAGCACTCATGGCCAGATCGAAAGCCTTCGGGTCGTTGTAGGTGACGATGTTTGGCTCCAACCAACTCAAATCATACTCGGCGCCGTGCGCTTTAGTGATCCCAGCGATAATCCCCTCCATCAACGCGGGCACCCGTTCCTGAACCTCGCGATCGAGGCAGCGAAGGGTGCCGCGCAGATGAACAGAATTAGGAATAACGTTATAACTCCCGTTGCCTCCCGCGAAGGTGGTAATACTCAATACTGGAGCCTTCAGCGCGCTCACACGGCGCGAAACGACGGCCTGGAGGTTAGTAATTACCTCGGAAGCGACCAAAATGGAATCCACACAAACCTCCGGATTCGACGCGTGCCCACCGATACCGCGGACGACGATATCGAAATCATTGCAGGCACCGTACAGCGTCCCGGAACGTGAGACGATCGTCCCCACCGGGTACTCCGCCTCGACGTGTAGAGCGAAGATCATACTAACCCCATTCAACACCCCCAATCTCACCAATTCCTTCGCCCCGCTCGGGATAACCTCCTCGGCATGCTGAAAAATAAACCGAACCTTTCCGCGGATGCGCTCACGAACCTGGCAAAGCACTTTCACAGCGCCGAGGAGCATCGCAGTGTGGGCGTCATGCCCACACGCGTGCATCACCCCAGGCCGCTGCGAGCTAAACGAGACCCCGCTCTCTTCCTGCAGTGGCAGCGCATCCATATCCGCGCGGAGAGCGTACACCGGCCCCTCCCCGGCCCCCCCATCCAACTCCCCCACGACACTATTCGGGGTGGGTCGGTGAATTGCCAGGGGGGCGGGCATCCGGCGGAGGGCCTCCGCGACGTAGGCCGCGGTGGGCTCCTCCTGGTAAGCCACGTAGGGTTGCTGGTGGAGGTAGCGCCGCCACTGGACCACCTCCGGGCGGACGGCGGTGATGAGGACCTGCAGCTGCGACATCGACAGCCCAAGCGGATAGTGAAGCGTAACAGACCTGTTGTAATACAACACAATAGAATATACTGTAACAGGATAATGTATAGTATAATATAATAGGACAGAAATATAGGGATGAGTGCTAAATATTTCTAATAATAATAAAGACTAAATTGATAAATAATGGATAAAGAAATGTATATATATATAAAGATCGGTGTATTGACACGTGGCAGCAAATAAGAGAGAAGGTAAATGTTCACCAAAGGGTGAAATATCAATGGTCCCTCTAAAAAAATTGACAACTAGTTTGGGGCTGTGTTAATGGACACTAGCAAGTCGGGAAAGCTCAAACGTAAAAATGCGAGAAAATGAAGATCCATTAAAGTTTATGCGTTCTCACCTTTATGCGCTTTGCGCGCTTCGCTTGTTTTAAATTTTTCATGGAGCACTTGGCTTCTTTTTCTCTCTCATTTTCGACCTTCGATCGCGCAAGTTGATCCTCGGTTAGAGGTGACTTCTTATTACGACGATACCAATCCCTTACGGTGGCCGCCATCGTGTCGTGGTGGTCGTCGGGGGAACGTCCAAAACGCAGAAGTGGCCGTTCAGGGACTTCCAGCGTCCCATGTCGATACATCTCTCTCCATTTTTCCAAATAATCATACTTCGAGCGACGCGTCGGACCCTTCCCAACAATCTCAACCTCGCCTTCCTGCTTGTTCTGAAGGACCTTAACCACCGCATTCGTTTTGTTCACCGAATCGGTTTCCAATTGGGCATAAAAAGTATTGTCGGCCTGCATGGCGAGCTCCTCATCGGTTTTGTAAGGGGCCAGAAGATCATTTTGTTCGGCCTGCCATACCAGCTCGGCGGATGGCTGGACGGAATGCGCCATTTCGGACCCGGGCTTGGCAAGACCATCATCATAGCGATGCTCGGGGTATTCGCGCCAGTCGCGGAGTTCGCCAGGGGATAAGGCCCCGCTTTGTTCAATATCTAGTTGATCCCCCACCACCCTTAGTGACTTCCCAAGATTTGAGAACTCCGGCACGGGGGCTTTTCCGTCCTGCACACGTTGGAATTCTTTCCGCAGAATCGCCCGTTCGCGCCATAAACGCACTCCCCACCCCTGTGGGCCGCCGCCATCTGTGGGGTAGGATAACTCCCCCCCATCCAGCCCCCACAGACTCCCCGTCATCTCACCTTCTTGTTCGCGAATTTTCGAAAGCAAACTGTCCCGCCGCACGGTGGGAACCTCCTCGATCGTTTTAAACGAGGAATGAATGCCCAACTTGGCCAACGCCTCGTTCTTCTCCTCGAAGGACTCCCCTTTCGGGGTCCCATCGGGATTTTCATTCGCAAAGAGCTCGTGCTTGCTGATGGTTTCGCGTTTCCATTTTTCCCACCACGCCAAGGTGGTGTTCGCCGCGATGGGTAGTGGGCGTAAAGTTGGATTTCCATCTTGATCAACCGCCGGCGCCGTCTCGACCGCTTCCGTCCCCATCGTGAGATTGGATTCGTGCGCGAGGCCTTCTTTTTTTTGGCAAAATACTCCTCACGTGCTTGGATAATCCGTCGGGCCCTCCTCTTCATATCCCTTTTGTACCCCGCCGCGTTGTTGACTTGGACGATCTTTCGCAAAAGTGAAGGGCGAATACGTATTTTGGACCGCTCTAAAGCCTCCAAATAGTGAAGAGCCCGAGCAGCGCCGCCCTCCTCACCCGAAGAGAGATGCATAAAGATAAGGCATTCGTACGTCCGACGGCTCGGCGTGAGATCCTCCTGCAAGACCATCTGTTGGAATAACTTTTCCGCTTCGTCTATTCGCTGTTGATGGGTCAACAGGGCGATGTAGCATTCGTAGCTATACACATCTTTTTTTAAACCCCACTCATCAAATGTATTATTCCATATTTTGTTGGCCTGATCCTCAAACTTACCGATGTGAAGCGTGTCGGATGAAAAATGCTCCATACAAAGAATGGTGGTCTGGCAACATAAACGCAGCATGGCATTTAAGAAAGGGAGCTGCATTCCCCATCCCCTTTCCACAACGATTTCGTAGATTCCGAAGCAAGTACTCATGCGTTCGAGCCAAATAGATCTGATGTCAGTCTTCTTTTCTTTTAGCGTTTCATAATCAAGGCGAATAATATACTGCACATGAGCTTGGATCGACCAGGAAAGATGTAGTATACTTAGGGGAATACAATCCTCACGCATTTTGCCCAAGTACTTCTCCACAGCGTCAACATCGCCCACTACCTGGGACGACCTTATAAGGTTGAGATAAGTCATAGCATTCCAACTGATTCCCATCAGGTCCATTTTTTTTGCCAACTCCTCGCACCGCAGCCTCATCTCAGGAATAGGACTCTGGCTTAGAGAAAACATCAGTGCGTCGTAATGCGGGCGAGACGCGATGTAGCCATACACATTTTCCATTTGATCGAAAAGCTGAATCGATTCAGCAAGGGAATTACTTTGCGATGCATCCTTGCTGAAGGCTCGCAGCTGCAGTAGAAATGTTACCTCATTCGGCTCTATATTGGCGTACATTTTCATATTATCCACAATTTGCGAAACGGCTGGATAATCCTTTGCGTTGTGAAAAGAACGGATGAGTTCATGCCAGTTACCAATGCGGGGTGTAATTCCGCTTTTTTTCATCTCTTCGATAAGCGCCATGGATTGGTTCACATCCCCATGGGCAGCAGGATATTTCATGAGAGCCTTATAATGCTCCGCGGAAGGCCCGAGACCCACTTGGCTCGCGAAGTTAAACATCGCGAGAGCCGCGTCGTAATAATGTTGACAAGCAAGAGCGGAGATGACGGTAATGAGGCCATCCTCGGTGTACTCTAGGCCACAGTCCTCGAGAAGAAGCAGTAATTCCTTCCCGGCGTTGCTTTTCTCTGATTGGTCATCCAAGTAGGCGATGGGGATGTTTGTTTCCCTAGAAAATTCCTCCGAGGAGATCATAGCTTTGGCATTGCTGTCGGTGTCCGCGGCAGCCTCGACGGAGGCCTCCAACATGGCGTAATTATACGACGTCTCCGGCAGCGTTAAGTGCGGAATGGTATCAATGCCCGAGGGAATGCGGTAAATTGCGGAGCTTCGCCCCGACCCCGGAAGCGCCGACGGCGGCGAAGCCAAAAGTCGTTCAGCGAAGCTCACCAAACGCCGCATCCCCTCGCTATTCGCCTGGAGGGCGCCCAGAGGATCTTCGAAAACCTCCTCAGCGGGGTATTGCCAGGCGTAGGCCCATCGCTCGATCGTATCATCCCATTTTCCCTGGGCGGGCGGGCGATAATCCGCAGGAAGGACGCCCCGACGGGCCATCGTCCACTCCGCCGCTTTCGCCCCGGGTCCGAGGCCGAGGGCGCCGCGGAGGGCGACGTGTTTGAGGGCTTGCGCGTAGGGCGAGAGGGCCTTACTACGGCGTAGGAGATCAGGACGCATAAATAAAGTGTGGAAAACCTTATCGGGGGGGAAGGGGGGAGGTAGGGATTAAAAGAAAAAAAAAAGACTACCGCTGCCTTTTTCCTCTTTTTTGACTAATGATAAAATAGTTGGGGGATTAAAGTTTAAAGGGATCAAGTAAATCCTTACACAACATTTTACATCGGAGCTGTAATCCATCTTCGAAAGTGCTATTTTTTTTTATCTTCCTTAGTTTGGTATCTTTCACAGCTAAGAGGTGAGTTCTATGAACAGGGGCATCACGCCGCATTGTTTGCACACAAACAAAAAAAACGTGCGCGACGCAAACTCAAAGTCAATGCACTCTCGGTGATTGTTAATTGCTCTTTTTACCTTGGATCACCTTTTCACTGTCGTTAATCTGTTGCGCTGAAAAACTCATACCGCTACTGAATATGATCTTCATAAACCAATTTGTCGAAAGTGTCAACCCTAAGCCCAGAAATCCAAACACCCATAAGTGAATACATTTTGGCATTGAAAAGACGAAAAAAAGCCATAGCAAAAACAATGCACCCATTAAAATGTTAAAAGAAATCCACATAAATGGTGTCAAGGAGGAACCTGGGGTGAGGATGTGGTTGATAATTTTGACTAACAACGGAAGCTGATCATTCTCCGTGAGTTCTATATCAGCTGTTGTTGCATTATCCTCCACTAGTTGTTTCATTGCTAGTTAAGACAAACTTTAAATCACTAAAGATAAAAAAAAGGGATTATTAAAATTTTCTAATATAAGAACCAAATTCAACACTTTTTATTGTAATATTAAGATAGCAAAAGTAACTATATTTTTGTTTATTTTACAGAAGTGTAGTAGCAGTAAATATAATATATCTATTTACGTACCAAAGATTATACCGTATGTATTACCTTTTTGTGCCAGGGAGATACAAACTGTACGCACTCTGGAGAAAGCCACTGAATTTGGCAGAATTGAACGAGTAGCAATTCAGTAGTAACAAATTCCTGGACTACCGGTAAATCAACCTCGGAAAAAAGCTCAAACTTCCTTGGAGATCTAGAAAAAAGGTTTACCAAAGATATACTTTGCGGTGGAGTCTTCCAAACTTTTATGCCGTTCATATTTTTCGATACGGTTACTAACTCATAATCGGTCTTGTTGCTGCTAAACGCTAAGCAAAGAACCGGCTCCGGATGCGCATTAAAGGATGTCACAATACCCTCAGTTTTAAGGCTATACACCCTTACAACCCCCTCTGAAGTACCAACTGCAATGCGCTGCGAGTGAGCCTGAAAAGAAATATTAGGTAAAAAGGTCGTTAACGTACGAACAAACTGAGTAATAGCGCCCATTATGACATCTTTTTCATCCACTACGGAACTTTTACCCATTAGCTTGATGCTAAAGTCTAATAAGTAATCACATACGTAAAAGGCTTTACACGAAAAATTGATGACGAAAAATGCAAAAAGTTTAATTAAAGCCGAATTCCAGCGTGGGTGCTTTGCGGAAAACTCCACGCAGTAATCCTCAATAAACTTCACAGGATTGTGAGCGATAATGCGCGACAAGGCTCGCATACAAACACTCCTAGATCCCTCACAACCACCTTTAATGGCGTATTCAAACAATTGAAATATCAAGTTTGATGTGCCCAGGACTCCGGTAAAGATTGGAAATCCTTCTGAAAAGGCTAAAAGAGCCATAGACAAGTCAAAAGAAATTGTCTCGGATTTCGAAGAGCTAAGCCATTCCTTCAGGAAGTCTAATATTGGTGTCACTAGACGCTGCTGAAGCTCACAGGCTAATTTGGGTGCTACCTGGACCTCACTCTCTACGATAAGGGTACCAATAAGAACGTACATTTCGTTTTCGGAAAAGGGTATTTTGTGTGTTGCGGCTCCGTGTGTGCCGTGGTAAATGAGTATTTTATTATTAAGAAGATTTTGTGATAAGTTTAAAATGCGCTCGGGTGTCAAATTACGGGCTAAAATCTGAAAGCCATGCCGTGCGGCAGCTGAAACAAACCGTACATTAATAAAGAAGGTAAAAAAATAGTCACATATGTGATTTCCTAGCAATGATCCTGATTCGTCACTACATTTAGAGGATAAATTTTGGTGCAATTGGATGCTCATTTTTATTGCTTCATAGGCCGTCTTCGCATCTTTAGTTGAATCAAAGAGTGCATACACTAAACGCATTACGCCAAGGATCAAGCAGATGTCACATGAACTGGATGTTTTCAGGGAAATACTTTCCAAGACATTAGATAAGCTATTATCAGCCAGCAATGACGATGTCTCATTCATTGCAACACAGCAATCTAAAAGCAAGGAAGTAGCTGAAGGAAACTTAAATAACAAATTCTCAGAACTTTGCATGTCCGCAATGATCCTTTCAATATTGATGTAAATGCTAAAATACCTTCTTCCAAGGAAGTGTAGTGTTTTAATTCGCAAAGATGATGTACAGGTTTTGGCCATTAAATCACTCAGGTTTCCTTGGAAATCAGGCTTTTCAACAGCCACAAATGTACGCTCTAAGCTACAACTCTGTAGATGCCATAAATTCCCTGTCAGTTGTGAAAAGGCGAAAAGATATTCACAGCTCCGGTCCAAGTAACACGAGGTCAGAGGGCGAGATGGGGATACAAATGTTTGCGATACCTCCCCTGTTTCGACTGAATGAAAACAAATAGTTCCCATGGATGAAGATATGCTAACAAACACGGCTTCAGCATAATATGCATGAAAATTATACAAGGTACTGAGTCTATCTATAGGCCCGCAATGCGGTGTTCGCACAGCAGCACAAAACTTCCCCTCAGTAAAGATTTTTACCATTCCATCATTAAAGCCTAGAACACAATTTTTTGTTTCTTCTTTAATGAAATAGAAAATGCTTGTCACTTCACATGGGTTTTCCTCAAATGCTACACGTTTTGTCCCCTCAATTTCATAAACAGCTAAAAGGCACTCTCCGCTCTTAAGAAGGTAAACAAACGCGCAATAATTCCCTGTTTGTACCACTTCTAGGAGTAAAATTAATGAAGACTCCTTCAGAAAGCCCATCCCCCGCAGCGGTAAAAAGGAATCACTAAATGAGCGCTGTACTTGTACTGATCTATAGTATTCAAATGACGAGCACACTAAATCACAATGTGCAATACTGAGAATTCCATTTGATCCCTGAAAAGGTGAGAAACAAAACCCCGAGAATGGTAAAACTATCTGGTGAGTTAAATATATGTCCTTAATCTTATCTCCACTTGTCTTCAGATCATATAGAACACAAATGCAATCACTCCGCAGCGCTGCAAAGGAAAAGTTGGAATCATAATCTTTATCAATGAGAATGGAGGAGCACAAACATCTTTTGCTCCAATGACCAAACTCAAATGGTGCATTGGAATCATTTGGTACTGAAGTATATATTTCATATTTCGCCTCACATATCGTGCCAAAGCAAATATAATCTGGAAGTAAAGTAACCACGATATGTGCGTTGTGAGTTCCTACTGTAAATGATTGCGGTCCTGGCTCAAAAAAATAGGCTGAGTTACGCAAATAACAGACTAATGATATGTTCTCACGTGAAATAGTTGTACAATCAGCAAGTCGAAGTGTAAGTAAAGTGAGATCATGGGAAGTGGTATAGTGAATAAGTATACTCAATAGGACTTCACTGTGTTGCTTTAGTAATAGAATCGATGATATATTACCTATTTCAATCTCAGTTCTATAATCTGATTTGTACTCAAATTGGTCTCGTTGGTAGGCAAATATAGCTACGTTATTTTCGGAGGCAATAGCACATAAGTTTGATTCACAGGCAAACCCCCAGCGATGAAGTCCCCTATACACTGTATTCCGCTCTACAAAACAACCCTTAACTTGTTTAGGGTCCCGAAAGAGTACGATACCTAACGACCCATTTATTGTACCAATGAGTAGGGTATCAGCGAAAAATTCGACTTTATCTATAAGATGCTTAGTAGAGAGAACTATATGCAAATCAGCTGAAGGGGACGGCGTTTTAGGAGATAGGGATGCTTCGAAGTCGACAATACCTTGGGAAGTTCCAAGACTAAAGGCGTGTTGAGATCCTGACGTTCGGAAAAAAAAGACTCCAACAATGGTAAAGCAATCCTTTGTAACCTCTAAAAGAACAGCCTTTACATAATCGTGAACACAGACAAACCCACTTCCGCTTTCCTTGACAGAGTACTTACTGGAAGAATATTCCACAGGATGGTCCAAGTCAACAGTCACTGGTTGATCTGATATGGTGTCACTACTAAGAGCAAGTGAAATTTCCATACTAACCAAACACCTTTCTTCAAATTACACTTTAGTATTTAGGGAATATATAAATTCTCATGACAAACAACACTTCATGTACAAAAATTATTGAAATATCTACCGATAATGAAGTTTATAATATTCAAAAAAGGTGTCAAGAGTGAAAAAATGTAGAAATAAACTATTCACCTATTCATTGTCATTTAATCATTATCAGTTCCATTCCCTTCTGTTCGGAAAGAGAAGTATAGATATCAAGGTCAATGGATTTTTTCCTTTAACATCGTTAATAATAAATTTCTCACATCACAATTACAAAAGGGCTTCCGCTTGCAGTCTTTTTTGACAAAATGTCATTTTGATTGAATTTTATTGGCATCTAAATAGTTAAATGTATACATTTCATTAGATTTAATGAAGTTTATGAATATAGATTTCCATATTCGATTGGCATTTTTTTAGTGTTCAACTTTTTATCACAATACAAAGGACGCTATAAACTTATTTCAAGACTTAATAATTTTAAGGGTTCACGTTCAGAAGTAAAAAAAAATTCAAAAGCATATACCTTTTACAAGTCTTTTATCCTTGTCCTTCACACGTTTTCAAAACGTAAAGACGTGATTTATTATCACAAAGAGCTCATAGGTGTTTAAACACAATATTACTGAAAATGCATACACTAAGCAATGTACCTAATAATGCTAACAACTTCATAATGTCTGATTAAGTACCATGGGATGAAGAGAGAATCTGAGTACCAAAAATCATTATTTAAAATTTTAATTATAAGAGATAGTTATGGTAATCAGAACACAGCTGAAATGGAAACTCCAAGATCTGCCATAACCCTTTCTACTATTAACAATCCTTTGTACTTTGTATCGTAGTCAACTTTTGGAGCAAGTTTGTGCAACTGATAACTACTATAAAAGAGATATCATCTGAAAAGGAATGTTGGAATATGTAAAACTAGAAGAAATAACACGCATGAAACAAAATATGTAACCAGATATATCATATATATATATATGTAAAATGTGAATATTCTGGCACAAATAAATAACCCAGCTTCCTTTATACACTGAGATACTAAACTTAATAGATAATATAAGTAAAAAAAAATGTTGATGATTACTTCTGAGTGTGTATCGTTATATCTTGTGAGATTCTAAGTGGCACCCAGGAATTTTTACAAACTCCTCGAATTCCGCACATTTTTTATGAGGGCAACACTTCCAATATTTGTATGTGTACCAAAAGATTGGACCTTGTATATGATAATGGCATGATTCATCTGAATTTTCATCCACATTAAATATATTTCCGCAACCAAAATTACGGCATTTAGCTTGTCCATTAACCACTTCTTATGGTTCGTCATAATCAGATAGTGCTCCTTCAAACTCGCGAGGCCCAACAGTTCTTGTTTCAATAGACTCATTTTTTTAAGATATTGCTTGGTGCTGAGCTTGTGTCAATGGTTGATTAGTAATTATCTCCTTTGGAAATTCAAATCGTTTGTAAATAGTGGAATGCTTCCCAATTTGACAAGTCGTTATGTGTTGAAATGACTCCCAGTCGTATGCTACCTTATCAATACAGCACCTCCAAAACATTTCTATGCCATGAAAAATAGGACCTCCCAGATGATAATGACATGCTAAATCATGGTTGTACTTTTCATTAAAATTTTTCCTACACCCATAATGTGCACAAAGCTTTTGATCCTTAGGGTCACGGCTAATGAATTTAACTTCTTTGTGAAGAATGTAAATATTGAAGTGCTCGTGAAAATGCGTCCCAATTCTTTCTTCATTCTTTATCAGAATACCACCGCATTTTGCTTGTAAACTTGAGGCATCTAATTGTTCCTGCGAATCCATCGAAGTATATTCTTGAACAAAAAGATTCAATAACTTTTCACATTCATCATCTAGCCAAGAATTAGGAATGTCAACCTCAATATCACATCGATTCTTTAAATTACACACTTTATTACCAAATATGTCTTTTCCTTCGTAAATAAGATAAAGCTTCATCTAACCTTGATAATAAAAGAAAAGGACTAAGAAGTGAAGCCTTCTATCTCTCTATTAAAAAAATGGGAGGTGAAACACTATATTTTTAAAAAGTTATTTAAATATTGAACTATATGGTTCAAAATCAAATACCGGGAATGTTTTTGGTGATTAGCCTTGGCTCTTTTATCACGCAAAAAATTGTACTTAAAAAACGGAAAAGAAGTTCGGTTTTGATAAAAAATGGAACTTTCTGATAAGATATTTTAATATCCATAAAAAAGCCCCGGGCATCATCAGGCTATTCAAGAGGCAGCGGGCTTCCTTAAAACCTGACAATTAGGGTCCCTATATCCAAATGAAGAGAAAATGCCCCAGACACACTTATAGAAATACCAATAAACCTATTTTCATTCAGAGCAAATCAAAAGGAGTGGGGGATAGTAAAAATTTTGGGGCCGAAGACTGCCCTATCCTCCTCCCCTCCCCCCCCCCACCCCCCCACACGCACACAAACACCCAAAAAAAACAAAAAAAATATATATACATAAAACTATATTTCCCTATTGCATTGGCATATTTTCAAAGAACCATCTAGCAGATGGCAACTATATGTTCAACATTTACCGAGAAATGGAGGGAAACGGGAAACCGAACACAACCACCCTCAACGATTTTG